GTTAATGAGGAGTTAGCTCTACCTGTTTAACCGCTTTCTTCACACACACGCCCAAATAATATGACAGTAAATCTCCCTGGTAAAGCTTTCTTCTGTGTTACTTATTAAAAAGTTCATAGCAAAGAGAGTTGTAAAAAAGACTCAGAAGGGACAACCAATACAAGCTACAAACGTTTCACTGTATTAACCGCATGCAAACAGAATTTATAAACAATATTAGAACTATAACACTATCAACACTTATTACAAGCACAAACTTGTTTTAAAAATGTTCTAAAATATAGTTAAGAATACAGATCCCCTTTCCTCTAATCTGGCTAAACACAAATATTTTAACATAAAATTTTTTAAATACTAACCCTGCATTTATAAGAGAATAAACTTAATATTTCACCTGAGTAATTGATCCACACCCATTAAGCTACTCTCTTGCTTTCTTAATATAATTTAACTTTTACTTGATACCTTAAGATTATCATACGAATTATTCATTTTCCTAACAAGCTATTATATGCTGTATCTTGCTGATGTCTACATGACTACCTCTAAGTAATCCCTTTCTTTGTTCTCTTTTTCTAATAATCTGTCCTAAAGAATATTTATACTGATGGAGCACCTATGAGCTTTACAGTTCCTTCTTTGCACATCTATTTTAGCTGAACAGAAAACATTTTTTCTTCTGACTCCTGACCATACATAATCATTAAATTTTAGAACTAAAGGAGTCCTACAGATGATCAAGTAAAAATTTCGGTTTTATAAAAAAGAAACAGATCACTGAAGGAAAGGTGGTATGACCAACAGGAAGTTATTTTGAAGGTAGAGACTGTTGAGCAAAATAAGATTTGGAATGTAGTAATTCAGCAATTAGGCTGAAAAACTGACATCACATTAAAATATTTAATTTCTAGAATCCTTGATTTTAAAACATACTGTTATTTTTAAGTTTCCATAATCAAATTTGATTTTTACTCTTTTTATACTTATTTTTATTATTATTTTAAAACTCAACTTAAAATAATCTTACTCGAATTGCACATTAATTCAAACCAGGTTCTTAGAGTGGGATTTACATTACGTTCTTTGTAATTCACAGAATTTTCAGAACAATGATAAATGGAATTTAAGGAGTCAAGAGCTACTTATCATGCAAGTCCTAGAATAAGTCTCATGAAGTACTCAGTGATTACATGTTACAACTTCTAACTAAAGACCACAAGACACCTTAATATCAGTGTTATGGAAAAATTAAAGTTCAAGTATCCTAATAATCCATATAAAAGAAAAAAATTAACAAACTGATCATATATATATATATATACACACACACACACACTGTATATATAGAAAATAAAAACTTCTTAAAATTCTACATTGCTAAAAATTATTTCTAAGGCTAAGACAAATGAAGTTCCTAATAACTGAAAAAGAGACGCACAAATAAATTAAAAATAGGTGAGAATGCACATATCAGATGAAGTTTACTTTCAGTGCTAAAATCCATAATCGGCTTGAATAGTCTGGAACTATGATTAATACGTAGCATCTGTTAAACAATCTCAATGTGCTAAATAAACTACATGAATTAAAATCACTATAAGAAATAAGGTTAATTCCTGTTTTACTTATTTCCAAAATTTCTATGCTTCATTTTGAAATAACACTGGTTTGTAAGCATAGGCTTCTCAGCACAAGCTTCTCTCAACACAGGGAAATGTATCTCTCAAAGTGATACACCGAGTCAGAGTTACATTAAAAGCCACAGATCTTCAAGATAACTTTGTTATTCCTCTAAACTCCATTTCCATATCTGTCATTCCCATCCCACCCAGAAAATACTCCTTATCCCTGTTCAGTTTCCTCTGGCACAAAAGGGGGACGCTTGCAAACCTATGAAGACTCAAACAGTGAGATGGCATCAGAATCGCCTGGTCCTAACACCTACAGATTGCTTAAGATCAAATGTTAATATTCCCGTCTTTTCAAGGTTAATCCATTCAATCATTTTACCCTAGTTACAGTCGATCTGGTCCCCAGCAGACAGAGCAGTATTTGGATACTTGGAGCAGTAAGGAAAGTTAGATTTTTAAAAATCCTACAGCTGTCCATGACACATTCCACCTATTGCAAACAGGTACTAGGACCCAGATACCCACATCATGTCCACCCTCTGCCACTGTCCTTTAAGAAGGTGGGAGAAATTTATAATTATTAAGTCAAGACTTCAATTACTAGAACATTTTTTTTTTAAATCTAAGTCCCATTTACACTGTCAAAGTGTTAATTTAAAACCACTTCTCCCTATTCATTAAATCACCATAACCTGGAAATATATTCTGGCTAGTTTAAAAGTTATAAAATTAAAAAATTTTGAACATATCCCTATAACTTTTTTTAAAACTAATTAATCATGGATTTTTCCCTACCTTGTTAGTATGATTGGTGAGGTCTTTTTGAATTTCACTGAAAATTAGAATGTATAATAGCATAAATGGAAATTAAGTTCACCAAGTCAAACAAAATACTAAACATAAAGGTTATAAAATTTTAATATACTAGAAAAAACAGCAGGAGCCAAGGTGAAAGATTTGGAAGGAATTCCATCAATACTCTGCCAATTGTGGGGCAAGGTAGACATGTATTAAACTGTTATTTTATTCTTCAGGTCTTCACACTATGAAAGAAGAAACATTATGAAACTGGACTTTGTGATTTTTTTTGGAAGCAATAAAAAACTGGTCTCTTTCAGGTCAGCTTCAGCCAAATCTTAAGGGCTACAAGTTATCCAGAGCCTGGCAACAGGAACTTTTCTTCCTTGACCCAAGAAGGCAGAGTGCCAGAGGGAAATAGCAAAGAGTAGCACTATATAAACAGGGCAAGTGGCACAAGAGCAGAGGCAAGTTATATAACCAAAATATATTTTAAAATATGTTCATAACTCGTAACAACCTTTGCCTTTGGTTGGTTTCTTGTTTGGAGTATCAGTTGAAACAGTTAATTCAATATTATCTGGATCGCCTCCTTCCTCTTCAATAGCCTACATTAGAAAGAGAAGTTAATATGCTACACAATCTATCTAAACTTATTTTATAAAAACGAAAAAAAAATTAGCAAACCTCAAGCCTCAAGACATTAGAATTGCCAGTCATTTCATAAACCGACTTCAAAAAGAGCAATTCAGCTACACGAGTAAGAGAAACTTTCACGGGGAATATCATTAGGTATCAAAATCACAAGGAGTTTTAAATTCTACCGAGTCGAAATAATTAAATATCACATGTTATCATACTGAACAAAAGTCTAAATATTCTCAATTACAGAAAAGTTGCTATGAAAGTTAATAACTAAAAAGAGTTTTCCTAATTTCTAGAATGCAAACTTATTTCTCCTCTACTACAATTCCAACGCTCACTCAAATAAACCAGAAAGATAATCAGGGATGAAAAAGCAGATTACTGCTCTGATGCAAAAACTGAAAACCCAGCGGAAAACAAACCCTCTCTCTCACCCACCCCTCAACTCCCACTACCAATTCCCCCCCCAAGATGGGGAGGAAACGGTTGGGCACAATTAAACGGTAACTTCACAGAAGTCACCAAAGTAACCAGTCCCTCTGAGGCCAAGAAATGCACGCGCTCACCACCGCTAAAGACTGGGGACCAAGCGCCTCCCGGGTCTCCACGATCGCCCTTGGGAGGCCGCGCCGGCCGTCGACAGCCCTCGCAGCCTGGCGGGGACGTCCCGGGGGAGGCAGGGGCGCGATCGGCTGCGACGGGCGGCTCGCGGGCCCCTCGCGGGCCCCTCGCAGGCCCAGCCAGGCTCGCGGGGGCGGGGGCGCCGCGGGAGGGTCCTCACCCTGCTCGCGCCGGCGGGCGCCGCCCGGGGCCTCCCCACGGCGCAGCCCCGAGGGCCCCGGCGGCTGCGGGCGGCCGGGGGCTGCGGCGGAAGTGGGGGCTCCGAGGCGCGGCCTAAGCTCCCATTCCCGGACCTCGCCGGGCCTCACCTGCTTGAGTCGGGAAACGAGCACAGTCTTCACTCCGGTGATGTCTAAGTTCCGCCGCTTCAGCTCGGACTTGAGATCGATGACCCGCAGATCAGTAATCTTTTTACCTTCCGCCTGACCCGAGGCGGCCGAGGCTGCCACAGCACCGGTAGCGGCAGCCATTTTAGAAGAGCAGCGCGCTGCCGAGGCAGCGAGTGGGCTGCAGGGCGGCGGCAGCAGCGCCAACTTCGACCCAGGCCTCGGCGGCCTCCGGCGCCGCGCAGCGCTGCGCACAATGAGCCGCTGGCCCCGCCCCCGTCCGCCACCCCAGCGCAACCTGCAGCCGCAGCCAGCACCCGGATGACGGGCGCGCGTGCGCACTGGCGCGGGCGACGGCGTCCCGGCGCGCTCCGCGGAGCCGGCCGCGGCCACCTGGGCGGCGCGACCCCTTGCGTGGGCTGGAGGTCAGGCACGTCCAACCGCACCAACGTCCGCCGCGCCGCCGTTCTCCCGTCGCTTCGTTAGCCATTTTCTGGCAGCGTCTGGAGTCTTGAGCAACAAAAGTGTCAGGCACTCACGGCATGGATAGTTCGAGTGTTACTCAATACAAACCCAGGGGCGTGTGCACGCCCTGAACCTCTTCCAGGGAGATACTTTATCACTCCTGCTGAATAATCGAAAAAATGTGGCCAGTGTGCACCAACGAGTTAGGTTCCCCGAGTTGCAATCAAAAGGCCAGAAAGAAACCGTACAGCAGTTTTAGAAAATAAAGAATATAAAGGGTTCTAAGGGTTATAAGACTATAAAGGGCTGGCCTGGGTGCCAGATCCCACTAGCTGGCTCCCTTCAGCCCAGGGAGGCTTAGTTTATCCCAGGGCTGTCCCCGCTCGCTGGAAAAACAGGACAACTTCCCCTCTGCCTTGGCCTCAGTTTGCCAACCCTTCCGGTGGACCTGAGGGCGCAACACGAAATTGATCGCTGAATGAGGAAGTTCATAAGTACTTGTTACCGTTCTTATACACTGTGTTCACTGTTTTGCGGGGGGATCCCAAGAGCAATCACCGTCTTCTTAGGAAGGACCGGCCTGTGCAAGTGAGTACCCGTTCGTAACTTTAGTCAGCATTATTAACAAAGCGTAAGCATTTATAGAATAAAACTATTCTATAAATTCCCTACACTTATTATGACGCACAATTAATTAGACTGTCATTTTCTGGTTTCTAAAATTTAAGTTGATGAGGTCTGTCTCCTTTTATGTTGTTTTTTTTCTGATTGACTAATTATATCAGAAGAAGAAAAACTGACATAATGAAATAATACTTGACATTCGGGTAGTTCTTTACAGTTTATAATGCGCTTTGACATGCAATAACCCTCTTAATCCTTCTGAACTCTGTGGGGTAAATCTATGCGAGGCTTAGAGAGATTAAATGGCTTGTGCATGTTCACATAGCTGATATGTGGCAGAACCGGTGCTCAAATCCAGGGCTCCTGATTCCAAGTCCAGTTCTGTGTCTACTACAACTTGATTCACAGTCATAGAATTTTAGAATTCGAAGGATCTTTAGAAACCTCGCACAGTCCTCTCTCTCTCTCTCTCTCTCTCTCAACAGATAAAGATTTTTAGCAACTTACCTGTTGACCCACAACTAATTATTGGCCAAACTGACACTGAACCTGAGATCTCACTCCAGCGTGTTTCCCACTAAGCCGCCTGCCTTGTGTCCACTAGTGCACACTGGCCCGCTTTCTGAACATATGTGAATACTTCTAAAGACAGGTTGTAAAACCAAAAACTAATGTGATAGTTAAAGTGAAAGAGTTTTTCTTTGCCTTAAGAAAAAATTTAATAATGGAGTTACCTTAAAAAAGGAGATCTATGCCTTCTGATCTGATGCATTTGAGAAGGATGTTTCACCTGCCAAAATGCCAAGAATGTTTAACCCAAATCTCATGATGAGATTGTAAGGCAATTGTAAAGCATTCAACAAAATAAAAGCTCTAAATTCTGCAAAAAAAAGCAGTATCATAAAAGTAAAAGTAGTAGAGCAGTTCTGGAATGAAGATCACTGAAGGGATGTGAAAACTAAATATTGTGTGTGATTGTTGTTCAGATCTTGGATCAAAAAAAAAAGCTACTAAATGAACAATTGGGAAATGTGAGACAATTGGGAAATTTTACTGTTTATTAGATTGCATTATTGTACCAATGTTAAATATCTGGAATGTTGTATCAAGGTTACATTGAATGTCATAGTTCTTAGGACATACTTGCTGAGGTTCTTAGAAGCGAAGTATCTTTCTGTCTGCAATTTACTTTCAAATGGCTTGGATGAGAACAAATGTGGCAATATGTTACAAAGCACTAAAGTGAGTGTAGCAAAATGTTAATAATTAAGGAAACAAATGTGGCAAATTTTAATAATTGGGAAATCCAGATAAAGGGCATAAGGTTGTTAACTGTCTACTGTTTAAATTCTTTTTATAAGTTTGAAGCTAGGGGCACCTGGGAGGCTCAGTGGGTTAAGACTCTGCCTTTGGCTCAGGTCATGGTCTCAGGGTCCTGGGATTGAGCCCATGTCCTGCTCTCTGCTCAGCAGGGAGTCTGCTTCCCGGGGCCCCCACCCCCCCACCCCCGCCGCCTGCCTCTCTGCCTATTTGTGATCTCTCTCTGTCAAATAAATAAATAAAATCTTTTTAAAAATTAGCTTGAAGCTATACATAATACATACATAAATCTAATTTTTTGTGATAGAAAATAAAATGGAGGAAAAAATTTTTTTTCACTTAACATCTAGAATATTTAATTTTGTCATTTAACCTATGATTTTTGGTTTTTGAAATTACTTACATAAATAATTCACCTTTAAATTGATGTTTCTTTTTTTTTTTTTTTTAAGATTATTTATTTGACAGAGAGAGACAGCAAGACCGAACAAAAGCAGAAGGAGTGGGAGAGAGAGAAGCAGGCTTCCTGCTGAGCAGGAAGGGATCATGGAATCATGATCCTGGGATCATGACCTGAGCCAAAGGCAGACACTTAATGACTGAGCCACACAGGCACCCCAATGGGTGCTTCTTTAGTATGATGTTTTTTCCTGTTTTCCTGCATCAAGAATACTACTTAAAAAGTAATAACCTATATTTTACTGTAGAAAGCCTCTTGCCATTTATTGAATACTTTTGCACCCATTATGGGTTTCGTTTTTGTTTGTTTGTTTAAAGATTTTATTTATTTGACAGACAGAGATCACAAGTACGCAGAAAGGCAGGCAGAGAGAGAGAAAAAAGCAGGCTCCTTGCAGAGCAGAGAGCCTGATGTGGAGCTGGATCCCAAGACCCTGGGATTATGACCTGAGCCGAAGGCAGAGGCTTTAACCCATTGAGCCACCCAGGCGCCCCTTGTTTTTGTTTTTATATAAGCTCATCATTTAAGAAATATCTGTTGAATATTTACTATCTGCTAGGCTCATCAGGTTCTAGGAACATAATGATAAACCTGATATATCTTGTTCACCATTGTGTGGGCTCCTAACACAATGTAGACTCTCAGTAATAAATTGCTTGAAGGAGAATAGACACAGTGCTCTGATAGCCTACAATAGGAAAATTTAACCCCTAGAAGGATAGATAGAATATTCTTTATTTTATAGACAAGAAACCTGAGGTTCAAAATGTCAATAATTGGTCCAAGAGTATAGAGTTAGTAAAAGGAGATCCAAGATGATTTCAAATCCATTGCATTTTTTTTTGTTACAATGTCTTGTTTTCCATCAAAGTTTATTTGCTAGTCCCAAAGAGAATTTTCTGCCTTTTTCCTAGTGCTAATTCCCAGTTTCTACTATTCATTGTTTTTTTGAGAGAACTGAGTGTCTGCTTACCATCTTCTTTTTTTGTTGTTGTTGTTTTTTTTGTTTATTTATTTATTTGACAGAGATCACAAGTAGGCAGAGAGGCAGGCAGAGAGAGAGGAGGAAGCAGGCTCCCCGCTGAGCAGAGAGCCCGACGCGGGGCTCGATCCCAGGACCCTGGGATCATGACCTGAGCCGAAGGCAGAGGCTTTAACCCACTGAGCCACCCAGGCGCCCCTGCTTACCATCTTCTTATCCAATATCATTGCTTCTTACCCTCACTTTCTAATAGGCTTTATTTTTTTAATTAATTTATTTATTTATTTGACAGAGAGAGAGAGAGATCACAAGTAGGCAGAGAGGCAGGCAGAGAGAGAGGGGAAACAGGCTCCCCGCCGAGCAAAGAGCCCGATGTGGGGCTCTATCCTAGGACCCTGGGATCATGACCTGAGCCGAAGGGAGAGGCTTTAACCCACTAAGCCACCCAGGCGCCCCTCTAATAGGCTTTAAAAACGTTCCCATCTTCTGATCGGGAGGGAGACAAACCATAAGAGACTCTTAATCTCACAAAACAAACACGGTTGGGGGGGTAGGGAGAGGGTGGTGGGGTTATGGACTTTGGGGAAGGTATGTGCTATGAAGTGTGTAAACCTGGTGATTCACAGACCTGTACCTCTGGGGCTAATAATACATTATATGGTAATTTTAAAATTTTAAAAATATATAAAAAAAACTTTCCCATCTTCCAATATATTTGGTTGGCCCAAATATTTACTATTGGAAGGTGTTGAGATGTTGTGTCCTTCCCCTAATGGAAACTGTATAGCTTCTGGTAATAACTGAAGAGGTAAATCAGACAAATGCCCCCTCTAAAAATAACAAAAAGACTTGACAAAATAGAAAGTTCAAATCTGTTTTCTTACTGATTTTCTATGTCTTGTTATATTAATTACTGTGAGAAATGTGTTAAGAATTTCACAACAAGGGATGACTGGGTGGCTGTCAGTTAAGCGTCTACCTTTGGCTCAGCTCATGATCCCGGGGTCCTGGGATAGAGCCCCATGTTGGGCTCTGGGATATCTAATAGTTGTAGATATAGATATGGATAGAAAATTTTACACAGTTATGGAGGCTAAGAAATCCCAAGATCCTCCATCTGCAATCTGGAGTTATATCTTGGTGTATGGTTTTGTTTTAGGTTTGTTTTTTTTTTTTAAGATTTTATTTATTTATTTGACAGAGAGAGATCACAGGTAGACAGAGAGGCAGGCAGAGAAAGAGAGAGAGAGAGAGAAGCAGGCTCCCTGCTGAGCAGAGAGCTCGATGCGGGACTCGATCCCAGGACCCTGAGATCATGACCTGAGCCGAAGGCAGCGGCTCAACCCACTGAGCCACCCAGGCGCCCTTGTTTTAGTTTTTTTAAAGAAATTTCTTTCTTTCTTTCTTTCTTTCTTTCTTTCTTTTTATTTGACAGATAGAGATCACAATATGCAGAGAGGCAGACAGAAACAGAGAGGAGGAAGCAGGCTCCCTGCTGAGCAGAGAGCCCAATGTGGGGCTTGATCCCAGGACTCTGAGATCACGACCTGAGCCCAAGGCAGAGGCTTAACCCACTGAGCCACCCAGGCGCCCCTTGGTGTATGTTTTTTTGTTTTTGTTTTTATTTTTATTAAAGATTTTTATTTATTTATTTGTCAGAGAGAGAGATCACAAGTAGGCCGAGAGGCAGGCAGAGGCAGAGGGAGAAGCAAATTCCATGCCGATCAAGGAGCCCGATGTGGGACTTGATCTCAGGATGCCAGGATCACGACCCGAGCTGAAGGCAGCCGCTTAACCAACTGAGCCACCCAGGCGTCCCATGGTGTATGGTTTTTAAAAAAATGTATCCTACTTGGGTTTTGTTGAACTTCTTGAATTTACAGATCAAGATTTCCTGGTGCTGCTGGGTGGCTCAGAAGTTAAGCATCTGACCCTCGATCTCAGCTCAGGTCCTGATCTCGGGGTCCTTAGGTCAAGCCCCTGTTGGGCTCCATGCTGGATGTGGATGCTACTTAAAATAATTTTTAAAATGTTAAAAAGAAGTTAAAGAAGATTTCCTGACCTTACATCCACAAAAGTCAGTGGTATAAATCCAACCCAAGTCTGAAGGCCAGAACACCAGGGGAGCCAGTGATGCAAATTCCAGTGCAAGGACAGAAAGCTAATGTCCCAGCTCAAGCAGGGAAGTTTGATGATTTGAAG